CTAATAGTAAGGCTCTGCTTGGAATGCCTGTCATTCTACTCTTCTAAAAGTGTACTGTTTCTAATGTTATATCAATTACTGCTATACTCTCCCTCTCAAGTAAATGTTTGTTTTTTAAAAAAGAAAAAGAGGTAATAAATGAAAACAAGAGACAAGATAAAGATGTCATAGGCCTATCCTGCTACAATGTTGTATATAGTTAGATTTTTAAATTTCTGTGTAAAAAGTATGTAATTGTTTATTCCTATTTTTTACTATTACTTTTTTATTTTTTACATTCTGTAGGTTTTTAAAGTTTAGCATATCAATGAATGATGGAAAATACCTTTTTCATGTTATATATCATTAAGCTTCTCTTCTGCAGGGTTAATAACTTAAGATTGCAGACCAAAATACTAGAAAAAAAAGACTACAAGGATAGCCAACATTTTGGCCCTCGCCCTTCATAGTCAGTGAGGACTCAGGACCTAAGAGAACCTGTAGTGTAACATCCTGTAACTTAGTGGTGTCCCAAATTTTCTGATAAAGGAGATTATGGGGCCACAGAGGAAAGTGATCAATGATGTAGAGTGTGCCTAAGTAGAGGCATCTAGAGAGGAAATATTCTCTCAGAATTTCACTGAGAGCAAATTGGTCAAGCAATGGCCATGACTCATCCACACGACTGACACTGTCAAAGGATCTACAAACTTCAGTACAGGGTTCAGGGTAAATCCTGAGAGGATTTTGACTGACCTTGTCAGATACAAAAGTTACAGTTTTTCTTATATACGTCTTGCTTTATCTTGGTCTTAACTATCCAGCAGAAAAGTACAAAAATGAGGTTGTTAGTATAAGGTAAAGTATAAAGTAAAGCCATATTAATATGCTGAGCTGTAAAAGGCTCAAATGAACAATTTCTGACATTTCCAGGCCTGTGGATAACCCGCTACTATTTTGAACTACTGGACTATATTGGGTTGCTCTGTTGAATTCATACAACAACAATATTTGAATGGCAATGGAATACCGATTTCTGACAAAACTAAGCAAAAAAGGGGATATAAATGAACGAGCATTTTGTAGTGAAAAATATATATGTCTGAATATTCAAAATAGTTAGGATAGATATACAGCTACTTTCTCTTAGTTTAAAGAGATGAGGGACAGGGGAGATGGTTCAGTGGAATAAGTACTTCCCTGGTAAGCACAAGGGTCTGAGTTCAACCCCTGGTTCCACCAAAAAATAAATAAATAAAAGAGATGAAAGATTTGTAATAATAGTTTTTAGACAGGATATCATGTGTGCATCTTGTACTATGAATAATTACTATGAAGAAAACAATATGAAATATATTAATTATTGTAACTGTCCTACTAACCTGTTTTGAAACTGTCTCATTGCTATTTCTTTCTCAACAAAATTAATAATAAAGAAGAGTTTTGTCAACCTATCAATAATTCTGCGTCTTCCAATACATTTCCCTCAGTTGTCTTAAAGTATATCACACTTCTTAGTATTGCTTTGAGTAGTATTTTTTTCACATCTGCTTGGGGGTTTTTCTTCTCGCATTTGCCTTTGGCTGCATCACTTTGGCAACTTTTTCAGACTTTCTCTAACATATCATATTTATTTATTTATTTCATTTATGTATTTGGTACAGGGTCTCATACTCTTGGTGATCATCCTGTTTTCAACCTCGCCAGTGCTGGGATTACAGGCATGTGCCACCCACCCACACTCTGTCCCTGATTTAGCATCCTAGGGAGGGGCCATCACTTCATATGGAACCAGGGATCCAACCCTGGTCCCCGTGCTTGCCAAAACAGGTGTTTAGTTGCTGAACTGTCTTGCTGTCCCTTTCATATCACCTTTAGAATTCGAGAATTTCTCAGTATGTGATGTTGGAAGTGCTCTGAATTCAACTATCATTGAAGATATACAATATTTATGGGAGAAAATTTTACAGTACAGTAGTGAGATTATCCATGTTTGACTGGCTATATCTTGTCATTTCTGCTTGTAAATTCATCTTCTGTTAAGGGGAAATAGAAGTCTATATATTCATGTCTCATTGTATCTATATTATGCCTAGTGTAAATAAAATACTCAATAATTTTTGTCATATTTTGTTGATACTTTTATTTGTTAATAAATTTATGTGGAGAATTTCTTTGAATCCCTAACCAAAGTAGCACTGTCTGGTAGTGGGAACTCTGTACCTCCTGGGCATGCAGCTGGGCTAAGGCTCTGTTCTAGACCTCAGCACATCAAGGTTATCTGTCCCTGTGACATAAATGTAAATTCTGAGTTCGCCATAGCACCCAGCAACAATGGGGTGAGAAAAAAGTACACATCTAGTTATCCAAACACTCTTGTGTCTAATCTTTTTATTAATGTAGAGCTACACAAAAACTCTACCTTACTGTACATAGCACAGCAACTTCAATTGCATGTCTTTTCATGAGTTCCAACTGCTCTTTAAGTAATCCCTACAAACACTCATTTACTCACAAAGGAAGGCTGGTTTGAGCCATGATTTGGACTGTGAGACCCATCTCAATTCAGAGACAATTTCTCTTGTATGTCCCAAGAAAATTCACAGAATATTTTTTTACCTGAGTATGGAACAGACAGAACTGAACATGCTAAGTCATGGTGGAAGATCTCCAGGTCAAATCGTGGGGTGACTCCCTTCTCTGTGAAGATGAGTGTCATGTCTCCATATGTGTGGTGTGCATGTGTATAAGGACGCTCGCCTACCAAGGGCTAATAAACTTGAGAATATACAGCAACTTTTCTGGAAGAAATGCATATGTGACAGTATTGCAAAGGAGCTCTGAGTGTGCTGTGCATGGCAAAAGAAACTACAGAGACAGAGCTATCTCTGCACTGGAAATGGTTGACTGGTAGTGATACCTGAGAATCAACATGTGTCTTTGCATTTATGCTTTAAAATTAACTCACAATGACAACAACTGGATATGTATTTGAATGGTGTATGGAATCCATTTATTTTCTATGTTGAGCATTTATGCTTTCCTTGTTTTTCTGAGGTCCTCTAATTTTTAATAAATCTCCATCTTTTCAAAAATCTCTATAGAGTATTGAATATGTCTAGATTTATTTTTCATTTTCTTCATCATGGTCAACATCTCTATAATTATCTCTGCTTTGCTTTTGTCAAGAGACTTACTTATTTGTTCTTTACACGCACTACAATTATTTCATAAAATTCAGCTGCAAGTTTTTTGCTTCTTTTACCTCAATGTCCCCTAGATTTGCCTTGAATGATTGTGGGTTATAGTTTTAATTTTGCTTCCATGTTTTATAATTTTTTGTTTTATTGTTTCTTTGCTTTCTGAATGAGGCTTGTAAGCTGCTTATACTAGGTGGCTTTATTATTAATATAAAGACCTTTTCCAGACATGACTACATTTCAGAGATATGTTCTAGGTGTACCTGGTCTCTCATCTGAGTCAGTTTCAATGTATTTCAATACTGTTTACGACCCCCACACAGCTAGGTATTGGTACACAGGAAGATCAAGTGATCACAACAATGTCACCTTGGGTAAAGTGGCACAATCTGTGGTGATAATATCAGCAAACACAGTCTAGAAAATGACAAACTGATTTTGTCAACTTTAACCACAGATGCAAGATTTATACTTACATAACAACATATAAAACAAATCAGGCCACTATATGTAGTAAACATCCACCCAACAGAGTGATTTTAAACTTACGAGAGAAATAATTTAAGGGATCAATTGAAAAAATAGATAAGTAAAAGAAGAGAAAGAGATTAGAATCAATGCTAAAGGGTAAAGATTACCCAAGACTCAGGAAAAGAGTGAAACATGAGGGAAGAAAAGAGGAAACAAACAAAAATAAAAACAAAACAAAGCAAAAATGAAAAAGTATATTTATTATCATGAAAAAATAAAAACAATCACAAACAAACAAAGACACAAAAAATATCAGAGGTTAACTAAAAAAAGAAGAACACTAAAAACAATGATGAAGTGACTGGCACAAAACACAATCTCAGGCCTTACGAAAACTAAGCAAGAGCTGGAAATGTTAGAAGTGATTTATTCATTTTATCTTTCATTTTTTTCTAATTTCTCTCTAATAGCTTATTAGAAAATAATTGAAGAAGAGTACCACTGTCTACTCCCCTTTCTTATTTATGTAGACAAGCCAAATATGTGTGACTTGCTGTCCTTATGTACACATCCACACATCTTTTCAGATTACACATCTTGGGAAATGCATAGACCAAGGAGCTAATGCTCTTTAAACACCTGATGACAACACTAAAATTAAAAATGTTTGAACTCTCCCCACCCAACTCATTCTCCACCATGGAAATTTGTAGAGTTCCAGTTGTATTCCAATCTGGGAAGAAGATTCAGATTATATTCCTGTGAGTACTGCTACAGACTTGCTCTCTTCTGCAGGTTTAATTAGAGATCTCATCCTGTCCTGTGTGCAAAACAAAGGAACTGTTCAAGGTCCTTAACTGATGATAACAATATTATGGAACTCCTATTACAAAAATATGTTAGGAAGAGGCTGGGGGTCATTGCTGATCTCTTCAATGGTAAAAACCAAGTCCATAACACGTTGATAATTTTTGAGCTTAACACTATAAATGAAGTGGGAAACTTCTGAAAGAATGACTCCATTATTATCCTTAAATCCAGTACAACATCATGTAAGCATATAGTTCTCAAAATCCATATGTTTGAAACTTTAAGACAATGTAATGATATTAGAAGGTTGATTTTGAGGTTTTTATAGGATTAAATGAGATCATGAAGATGGATTTGTCATGAGTGAAGTTTGTATTCCAGGAGATTGGAGAGACCTTGGTTCTGCTTTCTTTCATGTGAGGGTGTATGGGTCTGGAAGAAATCTTCTCTGAATCTTCCTAGTGGCAAAAAGTGTCAAAAATAAAAAGTGTAAAAACAAAACTCAGCTTTTGAGGTGGCTGCATCGGGCTGTAGGAGAAGATGGCAGTCTCCACAGGAGTTAAGATTCCTCATAATTTTCTCTTGTTGGAAGATCTTGGGGAAGGACAAAAAGGAGTAGGCGATGGTACAGTTAGCTGGGGCCTTGACGATGATGAAGACATGACACTTACGAGGTGGACAAGCATGATCATTGGGCTACCAAGGACAAATTATGAAAACAGAATATATAGCCTGAAAGTGGAATGTGGACCTAAATTCCCAGAAGCTCCTCCATCAGTTAGATTTGTAACAAAAATTAATATGAATGGAATGGTGGATGCATGCAGCATACCAATGTTAGCAAAATGGCAAAGTTCGTATAGCACTAAAGTTGTACTTCAAGAGCTAAGACATCTAATGATGTCCAAAGAAAATATGAAGCTTCCACAACTACCAGAAGGACAAACATACAACAATTAGTTTTAATGAATCTCAAATTTAAATCAACAACCTTCTACTCATATTAATGTCTTGGTTAAATATCACAATGCAAAATACCCACACATTAAATAAAAGAATTCCAGCTGATAAACATGATCTGGACATTTGTCAAAATATATTTAATAAATGTTCACCCATTATGTTCTCAGGTAACAGGAAAAATGCAGCACAATTGTTTTCTCTCTTGTTGAGGCACTGTCATTTAAACATGAACCTGGAGTATTCCACATAGGTTGGGGTTTACAAGGTGAAAGCACGGGAAGAATTGTCAGATGTCAGTGGAAACAAGTGTTTCTGAAAAGTAAAATCTCAAGAAGAAAAATCAAATGGCATGCTTATCCATCTCACTTAGTGAAAGAGCTGCAGTTTGAAATTGTTCAAAGTAGCAGGTACAATGAATATTGTCACAAATTGTGTTAATCTTTGAAGCAGTGTGGGTGCTGACTACTAGTAGTATCAAAAATATGTTCAGGATTGTTCTGATACCTGTATTTATAATAAAAAAGTTGGGGGAGGGTGGATGAATTTCTGTCAAAAGCTGTTCCTGTGTGTTACATGTAACAGACATGGTGAATATTTGTTTACAGTCTTTGTTAAAGAAACCATGCATTTAAGTTTAGGTGAAATCAACAAAAGGAAGTAGGTGTATGGATATGTGATTTTGAGATTAGTCTTAAAATGTAAATAAAATGTAGGGTGTGTCCTCAGAGACTGTGCCATTTCTATTATATTGATGTGGTATATGTACAGCACTTTGTCAAGGTAGCAAAAACTGAAATTATTGATTGTAGCTTTTGTTTGATGCACCCATTTATGATTTATTCATATTTTATAATACAGTACTTGTGAATTGGAATTTTCAGAGCATTAACAATTTATGTACTTTGTTTTTTTCAAAAAGAATCCCAGATATTACATTTGAATTTGATTTCACTAGAAATATTACAAAGATTTTTTAATTGATGCCATTCTTACAGAATTATAAATTGCATATAATTCAAATATACATTCCTTTTTTTCTTAGCATATTTTTATTTTTGTGCGAAGCTTTTGGTTAATGGATTGAAAGGATGGAGACATTTCCTTATCAAATGATTTTATTAACAAGAGTCAATTTTGTCCAAGCTCCACTCTTAACTTTGAAGTTGGAGATTCATTTATGTTCTACTTTTACCAAAGTCCCTATTTTTACTTCAAAGCACTGGGTATACTGCCTTGTCGAAAGTGTTGTTTTCTTACGAATTTACTGAAGAATATTAAAGGTAGCCTGGTAAACTTTCCTTTCTTTTGGCCTGCTTGTCTTATCCTTCACTCCAGAATGTATAGGCGAGCCAAAACTGTGACTGTCAAAATAGCAGATCAGATCCTCTAACTTTGCTTATAAAGGAAAAATAATTTTTATATTGTTTTGAAAATGTTAAAGTATTTTAGTTAATTTCATAATATGAGAGCCGATTTCTCAAATATACCCTGACATGTTTTCATGAAGCTCAGGGTTATAGCCTTGAGTTAACTTTTCTTCATCAATAGTGTATTAAAGTCAGTGACAGTTTATCTAATCTTACTAATATCAACATGGCTAGTCTGTTTAATTATCAACATTTTCTTACATACTTTAAAATATACATAGAGAACATACGCATACAAATTCATACTATATGATTTATTGAAGTAGATTTAATATGAACTATTATCTTATAATGTAGTCTTAAATTTTTAATGGTTAAAAATTAAACTTAATTACAGTGGCACTATAAAAAGTCTAATGGGACCCTATGGTCTGAATCAGTCTCTAATAATGTCTTTTCCACTTTGAAAACATGTCATACATGGAAGCTAGTAACTGGATACTGTTGGCAGTTTGAGGTTGAGTACCTTGAACTTCATACTTTTTATTTTTGTCCCATCTATATGGCTGTGACTGTTTCTTCCCCCTAAGTATGTGTTGTCAGAGTCAGGCTTATAGTGTTTACTTCCCCTCCTTTGTTTTGGGATTTAAGAGTCAGAAATCTGCAGGCCAGTGAACCATTTTCCAAAGCACCATCCATTTTTACATGTCACAATCAAAATGTACATGGCAATCTAAGACACACTGATTGATACAAGAGTTAACATAGAGCTGCTCCAAGTTACAGTAACATATCTTAGAAGTTTGGAAAGTTTTCCTTTGCTTTGTAATGTGGCTGAGGTTGTAGGATTGTGTGGTATCTTATCACCTTTCAAATGAATTGTAAACTTGCCTTAGAAATTTGTTTAAAAGGCCAAGACCTTTTAAACCTTGATGATCATATATTAATAAAAATTGAAAAAAAAACCAGCTTTTTGATTCATTTTTGTATAGAAGTTCCAGACAATATTCTCTAGCGGTAAGAACAAGTCAGTGTAATCTCTGTTGGAGTAAGGGCTCCTATAAGGGCTAGAATTTGCAGCTATGGCAAAGAGCATGACACAGCCTCAAGAAGTTTGTGACTATATTCTGCATATGTGAAAATATTTCCACTTACAAAGAAATCTATAGATAAAGCAAATTATATTCAGAGTTGGGCTTTTTGTGTGTAATGGTTACATACATTTATTGCACAATTATCATGTCATTCCATTTTTACATTACAGCAATAATATTGAATGAAATTAGAGATACAAGGGAGAATAATTTTACATTGTGGCATTTTGGAAGCAAAAAGATGTGACATCTGTGACATAAGTAAAGTAATATAGAAGCCTCTCACATCAGGCACCAAAGCTTTTAACTCTAGCCATGTGCATCTGCCATACTCAAAGTCCAAAACCTTGCAGGAACTTCAATACCTCAGAGGAGGAGAAATTACAAAAATTGGGCTGCTTTTGTGAAGTTAGAAGGATTGGCAGGATAGAAAACATGGTCATCTAAGATGCATAACAGAATAAAGTTAAAAGTTTATCATCCATTTTAATAAAAACTATATGATAGTTTCAACAGATAAAAGCCATTGACATGGGGGCTGGGGAGAAGGCTCAGTAGAATAAGCACTTGCCTGTTAAACATAAGGGACTGAGACCAATCCCCAGTTCTGAAAAAAAAGCCATTGACAGGATCAAACATCTACATGTAATAAAAATACTAATATAATAAACACAGAAGACATCATTTCAGCTGATAAAACATTATTTCAACTTCACTATGAACTCTATGACATCATACTAAATAGGAAAAGACTGAAATAATTACCTCTAAAATGTGAAAGAGGGACTGGAGAGATGGCTCAGTGGTCTAAAGCACCTACTTAGAACAAGCTTAGCAAAAGCATCAGGGACCGCGGTTCAATCCCCCAGCACCACATGCCAGCCA